AAAGACTGTTGAAATTCTGGGATAATGAAAATGAGTCTGAAGCAAGCTTCGTCTCTCACTTTACACAATACTTTGCCACTCCTGAACAATATCATAAATGGCAAGTAGATTTAAATTCACTGGCATAACGAGAAAATGAGCAAATCAATTCATATGTGTTCAAGTTCAAAAAACTTTTGAGAAGAGTCGATCCGGAACATCGGTTGCTCCAACTGTACATAGTATGAATATTCTTAGGAGGTTTGAAGCCCAAGACAACCTCATAATTGAGTATCACCAAACCCCTTACATTGGAAGAAGCTATACTTGGTGCTCGTAAAATCAAAGCTGGAGAATATTATAATAATAAAAGTGAGGAGAAGCCTCAAAATATTAAGAAAATGGAGATGGATATTGACAACCTAAACTGTCAAATGCAAAAATTAATGACTGCCCTTACCTTGACTATGGAAACTGCTCCTCCAAGACCTGCTCCTCAAATAATAATAATTGTAACAATAATAATAATAATAATAGTACTCTCTGTATTGTCTGTTACCAGTGTAGAGAACTCAGCTACATCTCACGCTATTGTATGTTGGAGAAAACTTAAAATCAAAGCCAAAATCAGGGTCAACCCACCAAAATAACCCAACCAACCAGCCCACCTGAATCCTATCTAGACCTAGCAATGTTAATATTTGTGGGATTGAAGTAGATTAAGGATATGAACCTAAAGTCAAGGAAGAAGAAGCCTTTGTGACCTCTGTGGCCTGTCATCAACCATACTCCACCCAAAGGCCCAAAGAATGACGCTCTAAAAGGTTAGAGAAAAAAGCTAAGGAAAGATATCGGTTCACCCTCTCCAGACCGAAAGCCTCTGTTGTGCTTCTAGTAAATATGAACCCTTTGCAACCAGTACCAGAAGCCTTAGTAGCCCCTTTGCAAGACTTCAATGAAAGAGAGGCTCTATGTAATCAATTAATTGGAGGCATATGATGTGGCTGAAGATATTATGAGCCTAAGGGCTAATATAAGGTGAGACAAATGTTACAGTATTTGGATCAAAAACAGAAGTTAGCTAAAGCATTGAGAAGGCTGTTGCCTTATTAGAACTGTCAGTTGCACTCTGAGACTATGCAAAACAACACTGCTCAGAATTAAACAAATGAAAGAACCACTACTGCCTACTGCTATGTAAAGATAAAGAATAACCCTGTAATCACCGTGCTAGACTCTGGTGCAGCCATAAGCATCTTGTCTAATAAAATGATAGAAAAACTACAATTGAAGATCACTGGACCTTTCAATACTATAGTAATA